TGTGCAGACTTCCTCTATGCTTAGCTTCAGAACAAATGCTATTGGAGAAAGGTAAAAGCCTTGCAACCATCTGGCTAGCCATTATCTGTGATGTACCAGCTCTCTTTGTCTATATAAGCAGGTTTCAGTTAGCAGACTTCCATGTGTCTTGTGCTGATATATTTACACACATGTATTAGTGAATCTTTTTTTTTTTTGTAAAAGCAGTAAAACCCCATTGCCAACAGCACAATGTGTAGCATCTACTTTGTAATCTGTAAAATACTTGCTGACGTGGCCTGGAAGACAGAACTCTGCCTCTGTTGGAAGTCAAAAAAATGCCACAGACTTTTCCTGAGAGTAATCTTCAGAGCCTGGGAATAATATGTCAAAACACAAGCAGAGATAGAGACAAAATGGCAATAAATAAAAAGAGATTGACTGCTTAGCTCAGCTGTCCTTACTGGGCAGGATGCAAATGCTATCAATAACTTAAGAGAAGAAGGAAGGGAAAGGGCTGCATTTTTAGGCCACAGCGATTCTCATTTTGTGTCGCACATCCCTCAGGGAGTAAAGTAGATGACAGTATGTTTCAATCAGAAACTGGAAATGGCACTTCCTTAAATTGTCTCAGCTCTGCAGGCGTTTCAGTCTCTGCCCTGGCTGGGCTGCCTGGCAGTGTAGGACATGGGCCAGGTGGAGTCTGAGCTGAACCGTTCATCTTCATCACCATGATGTCTCCGCTCATTGCAGGGGAGTTGGGCTAGATGGCCTTCACAGGTCCCTTCCAGCTCCTGTGACTCCATGAGCACGTGCTGGCTGGTATTTATCCACTATATGAGAAGCAGAATGGTATGTCTGCTCCTGAACAAATCTTGCTGCGTACACCGCAGCTCAGTGCACACTGTGAAGGGCAGCTGTCCAGTTAAAGGCAAACCAGCATCCTTGTGCCACGTCTCTTGATAGCTGGGGAGCCTTCGTTTTCCATTTTGTAATCCTTAAGACTTGAAACTACTTAGGCTAAAAAATTCATTAAACTTTAATATAAAGCCCGTTTTAACTTCAGACTGTTTGCTTCCCAAAGATAATTGTTTGAGAAAATGAAGTGTGCTCCCCATGCAGCTTTTCTGTATGTTTTTCACAAACTAATACTGGAATTATGAAAGATAGGGATAAGTACAGCAAAGTAAATTAAATAAAAATGCTGAAGCCTTGGGGAAGAGCTAATGCAAATGAATTGAACAACATACAAGCTCCAAACAGCGACAGAATAAGTTTCCTTCTGAGCATTGTTATTGTTGGGAGATGCTCAGGACACTTCCACCTTTGCTAGCTGCAAACTCACCATCTTATAAAACCAGAAAAACCATAAATATAAACTATTAGCACAGGCTACTGTCATATATTGTAGTTTTTACCATTCCTTTCCTTTTCCATTAAAGTTATTACCTGTAAAAATGTACCTCTGAAATGAATAAACAAAGTTAATTTTCTTTTTCTGTCACTGGGTGTCATCTGTTCTGGAATAGATGGAGAGTCTGGATTTTAAAGACTGTTTTCACCTTAAAGGCAGGGGAAACTTTATTTAAAAGCTTTTTATAAGGGTAAAGTATCTTATGAGTAAATAAACCAGGAGGAAAGAGAGGGAGAGAGCTGAATGCCAATATGATGAAAGTCATTAGAGCAGAGCTGCCACGGACAGGTGAACAGAATAACTGTTCATTGAATAAGGTACATCCAGTGGCATAAGAAGCAAAAGGAGTTGGCTTATGAAGAGTTGTGGGCAAATCTTGAATGTTTAAACGTGAAACAAGTTCCAAAAGCAAAAGGAGAAAATGATGGCCAAATTATCCGTTCAAATGTACTTCACACATCACACGCACGCAGTTCCTGCCTCCAGCTCTCCAGTGCCTTCTGTGAGCTTCTCTCTGTCCCCACCAGGCTCAGCTGGGGATGCTGAGGCAGGAGGAGGTCTTTGATCAGAGATTGTGACCAAAGAATGGAGAGAGAAGAATTTGGAGAGTCTCTGGGGAGGCCTCATTGTGGCCTTCCAATACTTGAAGGGAGCGGATAAACAGGAGGGGAACGGCTGTTTGTAAGGGTGGATGGTGATAGGACAAAGGGAATGGTTTTAAAGTGAGACAGGGGAGGTTTAGGTTGGATATGAGGAGGAAGTTTTTCAGCCAGAGGGTGGTGAGGCACTGGCACAGGTTGCCCAAGGAGGCTGTGGATGCCTCATCCCTGCAGGCATTCAAGGCCAGGCTGGATGTGGCTCTGGGCAGCCTGGGCTGCTGGTTGGCGACCTGCACACAGCAGGGGGTTGGAGCTGGATGAGCACTGTGCTCCTGTGCAACCCAGGCCATTCTAGGATTCTTCCACCACCTTTATGCTATGTGTTTTTTTATAGCCTAATTTGTGTCTGGCTTGAGGTTGATGAAAATTGTACCTATTTTGATGAGAATACCATGGTGTTGGCTATGAGTATAAAGTTAATAGGTCTGAAGAGATGATGGATTTTGAAATCAGTATCATTAGTGCTAATTGGGAAAAAAACTTGAAGAACAGAATTCTTCATGAGGAGAAATGGCTGGGCAATTGTAAATATTAGCAAATTTGAATAGCAATCTCTCTGAGATCTGTAATGTATCAAGATTTAGAAGATATCTGAAAGATATCTGGAAAAATTATAAGGCGGGTCAGTTAGAGGAAAATACAAGGAAAGCTGTGAAAGGCAGATGAGGCTTGAGTAGCCGAATAGCTCTCCCATACTACAACTTCTACAAGGAAATTGAGAACTGTCACATCTTCTGCTTCTAAAGTAGCTCTTATCTTTAAGCCAACAGTTCCCTGCAAAGCTACTTCTGTGGGAGACTATTAGAGAAGCTGGATAAGGTGCAGGAATTGTATAGTGAGGACAGATGAAGATACTGTTGGGTCGTGCTGAAATGGCAGGTATCAGGCTGGAGAGAGAGAGTAATGGCATTTCTGACAAACTGATTTTCTTTCGTATTCTTCATTCTGTGCCTGGACACAAAGAATAGTCACTCTCCGATGAAATTTTCTGATGACACAAAATTGGGGGATATTATCAATGGATAGAAAGCTTGCAGTACTGAAGGTTTGCAGTTTGTGGTCTTCTGTATGCTGCTGTCTATATCTGTAATGCAGCCCATGTACCAGGTAAGCTTCTGGAGGTTGTGGAGTCTCCTTCTCTGGACATGTTCAAGACCTGCCTGGATGCCTACCTGTGCTACCTGGTGTAGGGAACCTGCTTTGGCAGGGGGTTGGACTCGATGATCTCTGGAGGTCCCTTCCAACCCCTACAATTCTGTGATTCTGTGATTCTGTGATATTTGATGTAAAAAGAAGTGTCAGGTCAGGCTGGCGTTGATGAGATTGTGAATTGGTGGTTTCCACATCACTGTCTTCTTCATTGGTCTGTGGAGTCTGAATTGGGGTAATTGCCATCAGAGAGGTTAATCTGCCACTTCTTCACCACATGCCATCAGGCCCTGTGTGCTGGCTGATGTTACCACTTCTGCCTCTCTGCTTGCTGTGCTCCCAAATCTTCGTAGTCCCCCCACACTCATTCCATATGCAGCTTTAGATGATGTCACAAGATCAGTGATGATTGCTGTGATGAGCTGCAAACATGGTAGTGGGAGGCCATGACCTGTAAGCAGTGCTGTCTGAAATGGCAGTCTCCAAAGTTCAGCTTTATTTCTGTATTTATCTGGATGTCTTCTGTAAGCAAGAGTCGATGAGCAGCAGTACACGTACGAGTGCGGTTTCTCAATTACATGAGCTGAGAGAATCTGTTTACAGCTTCCATTATGCAGGGAATTAAATATCAAGAGGCTGAAGGTTATTGGTATCTCTGGTGGAGATACCAATCAACAAAAAACCTGAGGACACGATGCTCTTGGAGAGATAACCATAAGAGAGCTCTTTCTGGAGGGAGCACAGCATGGACTACGTGCAAACCATTCTCATGGGGAATTTTAGATGTTATGCTTCTAAGACCTTTTAACATGGATGCAAAGATCCCATGTACTTTACTGGCCTGGGAAGCTTTGAGGTTTTCTTGTTTCTAAAGGGCTGGAAGTAGGCTGTGTTTTTTAAAGAGGCTGAATGTTTTGTCAGTGTTTGGCATCCGGTTGCAAACATGAGCACAATTCTTGTGTGTGTTACGTTTCTAAATAGTTGTGCCAACATCAGTCTGTGCAGATTGCTCTTTTGCAGTGATTAAGTTACCCAAAGGTAAATGAGAATGAAGTTAGGCTTTTGCATACACTGCATGTTGTCCATATTTGTGTATTTTCCTGGAATCTGAAGTCTGAAAATCTGAATTATTTAAAGTGCAGTTTAATTCAAGTCAGGAGATGTTGACCCATTCAATGCTTACTGCAATACCAAACCTACTACCTGAGTAGATAAATAATATGATTATATGGCTTTGCTGGAGCCTATGGGCAGCTGCTGGGGTACTGAGCTTCTCCATGGACCCAGTGACAAAGTTGGGTCTGTCACTGAGCACAGATCTGCTGCCTGGGACCCCACACCAAGGTTGTTACCTTGTGTGTTTTGTCTCCACCATGTGAAGGCTTCTCCCTTGTTTTCTACCTCTTCCTCATGTAGCTTGGTAGAGTTTGGGGCTCCTCTGTGAGGCAGAAGGCTGAGCCTCCTGGGCTGCACGTCTCTGTCCCAAAGGAAGCAACTGAGCCTGGGGGCTGGCTTTGGTTTCTCTTTAGGTATTCTGTAGAAAACGCCAATAAGCAGAATGCGTTGACTTGGAGGAAGTTTTTCCCCCCGAGGGTGGTGAGGCACTGGCACAGGTTGCCCAAGGAGGCTGTGGATGCCCCATCCCTGCAGGCATTCAAGGCCAGGCTGGATGTGGCTCTGGGCAGCCTGGGCTGCTGGTTGGCGACCTGCACACAGCAGGGGGTTGGAACTGAATGAGCATTGTGCTCCATTGCAACCCAGGCCATTCTGTGACACAGCCCCTGCTTTCTCCCCTGCAGACCCCCCCACCGTGGAGCCGACCTTCCTCGAGATCCGGCAGGGCCAAGGCCGGAGCATCACCATGAGCTGCCGGGTGCTGCGGGCCTACCCGACGCGGGTGCTGACCTACGAGTGGCGGCTGGGCAGCAAGCTGCTGCGCACAGGCCAGTTTGACCTGCAGGACTCCACCGAGTACACCGTCAGCAGCCTCTCCCGTGACAGCTATGGCGTCTACAACTGCAACATCATCAATGAAGCGGGAGCCGGCCGCTGCAGCTTCCTGGTCACAGGTAGGCCTGGCGGCATCTCGGAGCGCGGGGATGTGACGGATGCTGCGGCTTCGGGTGTCGTCGGGTGATGCTGCTGCTGCCTCATGTGGAGTGTTGGCCAAGATATGTCTTTCAAAGCAGGTTTATGGCTTAAAGCGTAAAGGTTTGGGTTGCGGGGAGGCTGGTGGCAAAACAGGAGATTCAGCTTCGTTCAGTGGCTTAAGGATAAAGTTTTTTACGTGCAAAATGCAAATGTCCTTCCTCCACTCACAGCTGTCCATATGCTTTTGAAAGAGTCGTTGAGAAAGACATCAGGTAGCAAATTTCTTCCTTTCGAAATTTGCAATAAGGCTTGAATTTCCTTTTCTCTGTTGGTACGCTCAGCAAGCTCAGAAACCAGGACAGGAAGACTGCTGTCTTGAGCAACTGCAAGCAGTCTATGTACAGTGTTGTGGAAATGTGTTCCTTTTCTCAAGAGGCAAAAGGTATTAAGGTCACCTAATACACAAGATCACAGACTCAGGGCAGATGTGCAACCCCTGCCATGATTTTACCATGCCCTGGATTTAGACATACTTTATATGTCATTTATCTTCAGCATCCCCTATTGGATCTAAATGTTTAATAGGGATTTTAGAGACACAAGTCTTGGTTCTTCTGTAGGATGTTAGCTGACAGGAGTTGTCAACTCAGCTGCCTAATCCTGCAAGCACCCCTGCATGCTGCAGAAACTGTGCCCAGGCTGAGGTCAGCATTAGGTTCTCCATCCCTCTGTGCTTCTTCAGACTTAGTCTAACAACTCAGGAGGAAATGAAGCATCTCTGTGAAGTGACCCAACTCTTCCCAAGGTCTGAGGTGGACCAGAGACTCCTTGTTCACTGCCAGGCAGTGCCCTGCATGGGCCCTCTCTGGTGGTCAGAATGGACAGCCTTGGACTCCCTAAGGGTGCCAGACCAGTAGTCTTGTTGCAGCTTAAAATGCTTCCTGTTAGCTTCTTGGAAGGAGCAGTAGGAGAAGAAAACCAGTAAACAATGACTTCAGAACATGCAACGTAGAGCTCTCCTAGAAGAACTGATATCCATCTCAGCTAGGATTTTATTCATGTTTACTGACCTTGTTCCAGCTACAACCAGATCAAAGCACAGCTCCAAGCCTTGTCCTTGTGTAGGAAAGTGGTTGTTATTATCAGTTTCACTGCTAGCAGCAGAGAGAGCATGGGTTTAACCAATGTCCCACAGAGCTGTTCAGCTCCTTGGCCCTGTAGTCTCTCCAAATGCTCTCTGGGACCTTGCACTGCTCATGTCCTGGATGTCAGTGTAGAACCTCTGTATACATCCATCATTTTTTGATTCAGCTCCCCGCTATTTTTTTAAAACCCATATTGGTTTTATTGGAAAAAAATACTTACAAGCCTGATGGATCCTTTCTTTATCCTTTGGATGTAGTTGGTTGGCATCATGTTGGCAGGGATTCCACTGGGGCCAGCAGCACGCAGCACAACCATGGTGGGAATGCAGCGAGTTCCCAATGACTGCTGGCTCTACCTCTTCCTAAATGTAATGAAGCCTTTGGCTGAATGATCATTCTGAGTCGACACAGAGAGCTGCTTTCACAGCTGCTGACTTCACCAGCTCTTTGCAGTTTTATCCAGAAGGTGACTCTGAAGAAAACCAGAGAAAAAGTCTTTTTCCTCAAATGCGTAAATGCAGTTCAATTTACTCTTCATCACTCTTTGGACCCAAAACTGTAGAAACCTATTCTGAGGCAATTATTTTGCCAAGATTGGGGCAATCTGAGTGGCTTTCTGTGATTTATTACCATGCCAAAGCAAAGCATATAACTGAAAATTAGTACTAAAATGGTTTTATGATGCACTCTGTCTCGCATCCCTCTGTGCGCCTTGCTCATTTTTAGTCCATCCCATTATGCGAATTTATACTGTATGGCTGCATTAAAGATGCTGAGAGTAACCCTTCAGGTTATGACTTTGTGTTTTCCTCAGTCCTTTCAGGTTAAAACCCACATGCTCATATTTAGTAAATTTATTTGCTGACACGTGGAGTTGCTGACACTGCTCCTAGAAAACAGCAGCAAATGTATTCTGCTCCCAAGTCCCATGAGGACAGATGAAATTAAAGCACTGGGAAGTGTAGAAGCACTGAAGCGAGTGTAGAAGAAAAATGATGAAATGGTAAAAAGGAAGCTGTGATTACAGGAAAAAAAATAGCTCATTCCTTGACACACACACACTGAAAAAAAGCAACAAATAAATAACCCATGGCAGGAGCCTGGCTTTGGGCTGCGACCATAGGAGTTGTCATAGCCCATTTTCAGTTGGTTTTATTTCCAGGGTTTCATGTTGGAGCACAATGCTGCAATGCTTATGTTGCAAGGGCTGCAGAGAGGCATTGGTATGCTAAGAGAAGGCTTTTCAGTACTGAACTGAAAATGCCTGCGTGAAAAGATTTATGCTGGCCCTAGAATTCGCAAAACCCGTTTTTACTGCACTTGGGTTCTGTGCCAAATTTGAGAAGGTGCGAGTGAAATAAATCACATGTGCAAAAGAGGGTTGATTTATATCAGACGGGCCAACCTGAGGCAGATTTAACCTGCTACTGTCTTAAAAATAAATGAGAACGTACAAGCAAAATTGTGGGAAAGCAAGGATGAGTTCACACTGCTCCCAGCTTCACAATCTATGTATTTTATTCAGTGGTTGATGGCGCACATAATGCCCAAAGAGAGACGGAAAGAACATTTCAGACAGCGGTGATTAAAACCCTGCCAAGAGTGGAAGCAAACTGAAAAGAAAAAAAAAAAAAAAGGCTCAGATGCAGAAAATGTCATGAATGGCAGTGTCTATTCATAGGGCTTCATGTGTGTGGAGGAGGGACTGCGTGCAGGGCAGAGGCAGCGCATGCTGGGCATCACTGTGGGCACAGGAGCTGAGTCCGTGGGGAGAGAAGTGTGGGAAGAGGCACGTTTGGGGATTTATTCTATGATATGATTCCATGATTTAAAGCTGTATGCACTCTTTCCACCCATTTGATCAGAGCAGAACTCTGAAGTCTTGATCGCACTGCTGCCTGCCTCAGGCTGAGCTGTGTACAAAAGCTGTTGTCCAAAGAGTGACATCTAAGGGAACAACATGTTGTTAGGTCCACGCTGAATTCTTGCAGCTGTTGAGCTGCAGCTTGGTGTGTTTGAAAGGGCCAGGAAGGCATCGTGGCATCAGGCGTGACACTGCGCTCAGGTTACAGCACGAGGTCTGTTGTCTGTAGCTGGGATTGATGGTGCTGTGTATGGGTGGTGTGCTGCTATTCAAATTAATAATCTTAATGATGGGCAGCAGTGACAGCACACTGGTGGTGATACTTCTATCAACTGATTTTTGCACAGGGAAGCCCCACCAGACTCATGTTTGGGAGGAGAGTTTCGGATACTTGTTTTGCGTCGTCGTTTTGGTGACTATTGTTTGTTTGTTTCTTTTCTCCTTAAAATGTCACATTAATTAATGAGCCAGTCATTAATCATTCACTTATCCAGTCTTCTGACAGAGTCTCAGTGCTTCTGGATTGAGTCTGATGTCAATCCATAGTCACCACCGTAGGGTTGACCATAGTTCTACCATAGGGAAGAACTGTTGGCTGCCAGCACGTGATCCCTCTGGTCTGTGCAGCATCAATCTGAGTTGACAGCAGCACTGCCTTCAACTTTTGCAAACGTTGTACCACAAACATCACCCACAGATGGCAGGCACTGGAGAGGCTGGATGTTGTGTTGAGGGTTGGTTTAGTGGGAGCTATTGGGAATAGGTGAACGGTTGGACTGGATGATCTTTTAGGTCTTTTCCAACCTTGGTGATTCTATGATTCTATGATTCTATGATCCTTTCTTGTTCAGAAGAGCCTCTGTGCTGAGCTAAGGGACAGTGGTGTCTGTTGTTTGTAGCTTCCCATATTTCTGTATAAATTCCAATGTTTTAGGAGACCAGCCTGTCTCACCTGCAACACCAGCTGCAGAAATATCAAAAAGTAAGGTTTTGCTCCACTTGAGGCACGTGCCATCCTTTTTATCCTCACTTGTAAACAAAAACGTGGACAGAACAAAAGCAAATGCATGGAACCCGTTGCTCCCCATCAGCACCACCGTGCTGCCATTCCACCCCACTGTGCCGCCGCCTTTGCCAAACCAACCCCTTCACCTCCAGAACATGCACATGGGGAGTGATAATTGGATGCAACACTCTACTTCTTTCTCTGGAGAGCCCCCTGATGCTCACAGTGAGCCTTGCGAGGCTGAGTCCTGTGATGGAGCCGTGCTCCCCATGAATGACAAATGAAAACTGGAAGAACATTCTTCTGTTTTCTTTTTCTAATCTAACACTGCTCAGTATTATTTCATCTTAGCAACACTAACAGCTACTTGGATAAAAACTGTGCTTTCCATTGGTGGTGTCCCTTTAATTTTAAAAAATGATGGTAGGATGATAAGTGATGCTCACAGGCATGTTAGTGGGATAGCTGATGGTCTCTAGGAAGCTTGGGAAATGCACTATGCTGGAAATAGAGACGTGTTCTTATGTTAGAACAAGTATTCACCTTGGTAGGTACCCTTCCCATTCTCTTATAGTCATTTCTCTCACTGAGAATTGAGAGCTTACATTTGCTTTGTTCTTTGAAATATTTATCTTTTCTTTAACATGGGACACCGTTCCTCCAGCCCGTTCAGTGCTGTTACTTTTGGCAGCATGTAACCCTGGTGTGACTGCAGTCTGAAGGAAACCAATCCAGTTTGGTGAATACAGAATTTGTCATATAGACTCAGCAGCAGAGAGCCTGAGGGCTTTTTGTTTTTATAAATCTGAATCTCCCCTGTTTATGCTCTCTGCTGCTCTAATCCTGCAGTATTTCCCTAATGCCTTCTTGTATCAGTCCTCTGCATCCCCTCTGCTCGAGGAAATCCACGCATGGGAACGCAGGAGCCCTGCAGCAGTGTGTGAGTGCCTGTTAGCAAGCTGC